CACTTTGCTTATCCGCTGCTTGGAACACCAAAAAAAAAAGCCCTTACGGCCTCGGAGCCAAGCCCCCGCACGGCACGCATCCCTCCCGACGGCATCTCCGGGGGAAGGAGGTCCTGCCGAAATCCCACGGGCTCACCCACGCCCAGACCCTGGGGATGCTGCTTACATCAAGGCAGAGACTCCATATTTGCACTAAATACACTGGATGAGCAGCTCTGAGCATCCCGAAGCTGCCCCCGAACAGGGATCACGGTGCGTCCCTTGCACAGACAGCGGAAGGGACGGGCACGTTGTGCTGGGAAGGACTGAATCGGGCTGGGAAAATTAGATAGAAACTGAAAATTGGATAGAAACTAAACTTCTTGGATGCTTCTTGGGAAAATGCTTCTGTTGTGGCTACTTCTTTTTTCCCCTGCTATTGGTTTACAACCAGTAAAACATCCGTGTTCCTTCAGCACCCAGCTGCTCACACTTAACTTCACCGGTATAAAGCAAGTCCAGTTCAAACAGTCGCTATTTTTGTACGTATTTTTTGATACTATTTTATCTGATGCGCGTTGTCCTTCAGAATAAAGAGCACAGAGTCTTTATTAAAAGCAAGCTGCCTCTGTGGGTTCTTTGCTCTGGGTTGGGATTTTGTCTTCATCCCTGTTTCTGCCACAAAATGACCCCGGCTGTCCCACCAGCACCAGCTTCTCACCCGCGCGACTGCTGCGGATGCTGCACTCGGGTGAGCTTTGTGCAATGAACTGTCATAAGCACCAGCTCACAAGGTTTTGCAGGTGGCAAACCACTGCTCGCCACTATTTCTAGGTGCTCAGCACCAAATGCTGCTCCATAACTCCTCCAGCCAGGTACAGAGTACCACCGAGCATCCTCTCATCCCATTTATTGTCTGATAAGCACGAAACAGGTGAATGTTTCCCCAAAGTGCTTATGTAGTGAAGTACTTCTCTTTATCACCTCCAAATGACCCATAATCCCATGATTTAAGCACAGTCCCTGTGGCCTCCAGAGTTTTACACTATGAGCACTGGTCCCAGTTTTTATTTCTGCCGCTGCCTTCCAGTCCCGCAACTACATCAGCGCAAAACAGGGTGAAAAAACAGTGCACCCTAAACAGGGTAGGTTTAGGCTGGATATAAGGAAGAAATTCTTTACAATGAGGGTGGTGAAACACTGGAACAGGTTGCCCAGAGAGGTAGTGGAGGCCCCATCCCTGGAAACATTCAAGACCAGGTTGGACGGGGCTCTGAGCACCCTGATCTAGTTAGCGGTGTCCCTGCTCGCTGCGGGGGGGTTGGACTAGATGGCCTCTGGGGGTCCCTTCCAACCCAAAACTTTCTATGATCCTATGATTCTAATCACAGGCAGCGTTGGGCTCCATAGGACCAGAAGAAGAAAAATTCATCCTGGGAGCTGCCGGCTTGAACGATTTCCCTCGTACAGAGGCGGAGAGGGAACGACCTTGGGTCCCAGCCTGCCCGTGCACGCACTCCCTCCCCGCTGCTGTTGCCAGCAGCAACTTTTCCCAAACGGAAAGCCAGCTGAAATACCATTACTCTCAGCTTAATTTTGTATTTCATTAGCTTTAAAATGAAAAAAAACCCTAAAAGCCAAAGCAGGCACCAAGATGGCAACACGAGACCTCGGAGGAGCTCCTGTTGCCTTGGGAGGCTGGTCCTGGATCCTCATCAGCCAAACCCTCCGGCAGATGCAGCTCCACCGCCTTCACCGGGAACGCTGTGGAAGGGAAAAGCGGCTCCCATACGTAGGGGACCGTTTGTCACAGGCGATGACAAGCAGTGGTCCCCGCAGCCAGGGCCTCCTGCCCCTGCACTCATCCTGCCAGCAGCATGGTCCTGCTCACAGGATCTGCCTTGTTCGTAACCCAGACCAAAAGGTTGTTGCAGACCAAAGTCTGCTGCAACACAGGCACGGCAATGCGTGGGTTTTTTGCAGCGTGGGCGTCTGCCAAAGCAGGCCCCGGGTCCGACACCGGTGCCGGTTGGAGGCAGGGATGGAGGCAGCAGCTCCGGCTCCTTCGCAGCCTCTGCTGTGGAGAAACATCTTGGCTGACTCACTCCTGCTGCAAGCACTGCCCTCCCTCCTCTCCTTCCCCATCCCTTTCTCTGCAAGCTGCAGGCAGCTTCTTTATGGACAGAAGATAGACTTCCAGTTGGTTTCTCCTTTTTTTTTTTTTTCAAGCACAAAGCACAAGGACGAAAAAAGGGCTGCACCGTTTGGATAAGCAAATCATCCGAGAGTGTTAAAGCATTAATCACAACAAGGCGAACGACATGGCAGGCTTTCCCGGTGATAAATAGCCCCTTGGTTAATACAGAAAAGAAAAATCCCACCCTAACTATGGAGACGTGGAGTTTTAATCAGCCTTAACAAAGAAGAACTCCTGTTTGTACGCAACTAGAAACAGAAAGCATCATTTAATGTCTGTCAATTAGTGTCACGCTCCACCGCTAGCATATCCATCAAGATTAAATAGTGTCCAATGCTGACATAACATTTACACTTGTTTGTGCCAAATCATTTATTAAAAGCTAAGGAAAAAAAAAAGGAAAAAAGAAAAAAGGCTGCCTTTGGATAATGTAACTGTTGACTAACATTTGCATGCAATAAACCGCATACTTGGCAAGGGCTCGCAGGGCCGGAGCCAAGAAAAATCTTCAACTTGACCCATGCAGAATTTGCAAACCAGAGCAGTGGGAACAAGTTCGCTACATGGAACTAAACAGGGGATGGAAAATGCAAGGACACCCGAAGTGCCAGGCTGCATCAGAGCAGTGTTGGCCCCAGTTTTGGTACCGGTTATTACAAAGCTGCTTCGGAGAGAAATGCAGAAAACCCCTCCGCAGCGAGCGCTAGGATGCGTCTTTTGGGATGTGCAGATGCTTCCCAAGGAGAGAGGCAAGCTAAGCCATAAAGCACCAGGATTTAGAGCTCTTAAAACCCCTTGAGGCTTTTCAATATTTACTATTCTTATTCTGAGTGCGCTCATCACCCACAGAAACACTTCATCTCTTTCCAACCCAGCTAGTGCCTTGGTGGCTGCCGGGTGGCAGGGAGTCCCAGAGCCCATTTTGAGGAGCTGGACCACCTGGCTCTCCCTCCCACTTTGAGCCGTCCCAGCAGCAGCAGCGATGCCGAAGGGGGTCAGGGAAGCATGGGAGAAGACAAGTGGCCCAGTCGACAAAGCAGATCTTCACCACAACAGACAGTGATGGGGAAAGAAAAGGAAAGGGGGGAAAAAAAAAAGAAAAAAAGAGTACTTTGGTGATGTGGCAAAATGCAGCTTTGCAGATTGGCGTTCCCATGGGAAACTCCTTCACTGTGTCTCACAAAAATCCAAGGCGCATTCCTACTTTTTCTTCTGTTATGGTCTGGGCATCATTTATTAAGAACAGCCAAAGGCAGAGAGAAATCTGCAGCAAATAGCCCTGGAAGTGCTTCGAAAGCCGCCTGCCTGCGGTAATTTATGGCAGCCGACTCGCAGAAAGGAAAGTCGACAGATAAGACAAGTATTTTTACAGGAAAAGGAGTTAGGAGCAAAGCATATATGGGTGGGTTTTGTGTTGAAACGCTCTGGTCTTGGAAGAAGAAGGAAATGGGGCAAAGAAAAAGGGTTTTGGTGTCAGGTACCAGGTGTGAACAGAGGGACTCAGGCTCGTGGCTTTATCCCCCAGCCCAAAATAGGAAAGTGGGGGGGTAAGAAGGACACCCTGTCCATCACCCGTGGTCACCTCGCCGCAGAGCCCCCGGCAATGCCCTTCCTGGGGACGGGGAGGGTGAAAGGCACTGAGGGAGCTGCAGCATCTGGGCTCTGCCTCCTGCACGGGGGAGCTGGCCTTTCCCTCTGCTCAGCAAGCTGGCAGGGAGAGCAAGGCCGTCAGGGAGGCTCCGGCGGGACATTCCCACCGGCCGGTGCCGGAGCAGGGGGAGATCTCCGCAGGGTCAGTGGGGGAGGATGCTCACGGCACTGTAGCTGTTGATTTCATCCAATTTTGTTCCCACTTCGGGCTTTTTCCAGCACCAGGGTTTGGCTTTCCAAGACATATCTGCCACGCGTGGGTCTCCCCACCTCCCCTTTCATCCAGAGCCTTCAGGGAAACCAGATTTCCAGAAAAGCAGGGTTTTTTTCAGACTCAAGGTGGTACAACCTCAGAGAAAAGCCAGTCTACCCTTGGCTACGCACAGCCCCGTCGAGCCCCAGCTGCCCAGCCTGAGGCTCCCAGGGAACCACTCCCAGCTTTTAAGCCTGAGTTTCCAACACAGTTTGATTTTATGACCCAGTTTGCATTGCTGGAGCCCGGCGATGCTGGATCGGGGCTCTCAGCAGTGACAGGGCAAAGGAGCAGAGCGGGACCCTGTCCCGAAGAGCCCGTGGTACCGAGAGGAGGTAAAAGCAGGGATGTCGGCTACTCGGCAAAGCCTCCCACGGTACTTTTCCACCAGCGAGCGAATCGCCCAGCCCAGGCAGCACAACGGGGTCCTGCTTGCACCGCGCCGGAAAGCGGAGGGATTAGCACAAGTCTCTCTGCAAACAGGGCTTGGGTGGGGGCACCCAGGGCTCCTCGCCACTCCCCTGAGAATAAATGGCTGAGTTAACTGGGAAAATGCACCGGCCGAGCTCCAGCGAAGCCATTATTCATTGGGAGCCGCTTTCTCATGGGGGATGGCAGCGCCCGGGCTGCTGGGTTGGAGATTTGCAGGGTTTACACGGGACAGAGTAACTCTGGGGCACACCCAGAATAACTTCCCCTGCAGAAGGATGCCCAAGCGCTTTGCAAACATCGATCCAAAGGCTGCTCGGTCGGGGCCGGGACAAAGCTCCCTCCCCAGTCTGGGCGCAGGGCTGTCGGAACAGAGAGCAGCCCAGATGTTCCCCTCAGACACGTGCAGATGTTTTCTCCCCGGCCAGGTCTGAAGCAAGCAGAACGTGGGCTGCCTTTGTACCAGCTAGATAATACTAATCCTTTTTCTAGACTCTGAGCACTTTGGCGGCCGGGAGCTCTGCCAGCGTCTATGGGATTTGTTTGCTGCTAGGTATCGTCACGTACGAGGTAGGGGGGCTGCAGATGGCAAGGCTCCAAGGCAAGTTTCCACGACGAAACTGAGTTTTTCCCAAACCCCAGTGTTTCGGTCTGGATATCCATGCTGTTCCCCAGTGAGCAGCTACCTGCATCAACTGTTTCCCCCCCAGAACAGTACTTCCACATTACAGGCTTTATCCTTTTTGCCATTTAAGACCTGCAAGCCAGCACCAATCCTGCACTGCTCCTGTGGCCAGTCCATGGGAACCCCCAAGCATCCATATAAAACCAGCTCAGTCCCTGCTCCCCAGAAACATGATGTAATTGATGACATGAGCACGAAGAGGTACCGAATCCAGAGTGATTCGGGTCACTCCCCATCTCAATTCAAGCGCCAGCTGCTCAGCTTCATCAAACGAGGAGATGGCGATGGGCACCACTAAAGCAGCAGCAAAACTTCCCAGGCCCAGGACTGCGCACCAAATCTTTGTGGAAACTTTGGGGTTTTTCATGTCAACTAGTAAGCAAACGGAGAATTTTAGGGCAAAAATGCTGGAGCAGGACCTGGGGAGCCCTCGAGGCACCTTTGCAAGAGCCAACTCAACACAAGGCAGCCCCTTGCCTGGGCACCAGACAGCAAGCAAAGTACCAGGGCACCGGCTAATCCAGGGTCTGGAGCTCACAGGCTTCAGAAGGACCAAGGAACTAACTTTATTTGTGACACCAAGACCTGCTCAATTTTTACCCAGATTTTGCCATCAGCAAGGGCACTCTCTGCTCTCCATAGATTTCCCCCAGGTCTCTCCCCTTCCCAGCCCCAACCACCTCCGGGCAAATGACCAATATTTCACCCCTCCCTGCCGAGCGGCTTTTTGCTGGGTGTCGATGGCACATCAACCCTCCTCATCCTCTATTTGCGCTGGTGAAAGGAGGAATTACTGCAGTATTTATCTACGCTCTCTTTCACCAGGAGACCATTCATCTCCTTCGCATAGCAGCCCTGCGGGCACCGATCGCTGCACACTTCTCATACCACTTGCTAAAAACATCACGAGGGAAAAGCTATAAAGCAAATAAAATAACAGAAAATTTTAAATGAAGGCGGTTAAGGTACTTGGAGGACCCGGTTGACCAGCGGTTGTGTCTGAGCTGTGCTGGCTGTTGCAGACCCGCACCTCCGAGCAGCATTTGGAGGGTTTATTTTCCTCCAGACAATGACAAACAGACTTTTGCTTTGCTAATTGGTGAAAAAGAAAACAGGGGGAAAGCCTGGCTTTCCTCCTCCCATCAAGGTGAGTAAGAGTGGGGCCTCTGTGCTGCAGCGAAACGGGCAGGAAGCAAAGCAAAGGTGAGGACGCTGCGCTGGGGATGTACATTGTGCGTACGGGACCTGCTTCATTCCAGGACCGCAAGGCTCATGGCCCCAAACTGGCAATATTTAGGGCTGGAATGACATTCACCTCCTCCACAGCTGCCTGCAGCTGGGGCTTGGCCACCCTGCGACGCTCCATGGCAGATTTACACCTGCAGAGCCCATCGGAAAACACTTACCTGTTCTACAAACGGAACCCTTGTCTTTTAAAAGGAATTAAATCTTGTGGATAAATACAAATGTTTTTATTCCCTTTGAGGACAATTGTGGCAGAATAAGATAGCGGGTTAAGGTGTGGCCGGAAAACCTTTCACTCCATGGCCTGCATCTTGTCATCCAAGATAAACAGGCAGCTTAATGAAATATCAAGAGGGAAAAGGTGAGATATTTGCCTTTATGTTCATTACCCTTTAAAGCAGAAACAATATTTGAAGAGAAACAAAGAATTGGGCAAACCAGGTAATAATCACATGCGGTGAATAAACACAGCCCAGATCCTGGATTAATCAAATGACTTCAATAAAAATCCAAACGCCGGGGCTCTGGCGGCGCAGGGGAGAGCACCCGCGTCCCACAGTACACGCAGCCCTCGCACCCGCCGCCGGCCCCGATGCCTCTTCCAGAAGGTCCCCCCGGACGGCGTCCCCAGGCCCTGTCC